ACAATGAACTAACATAAGTCTGCAAAAATCTAACTGTGCCCCTAGTAGGGATGACACTGAACTCTGGCTCTAAATGTCGCGGGCTGCTGGTTGACCAGATGCTTGCTGAAATATTCTAGAAATGCCTTCAGGAGAAACGTGTTTTTTCTAATAATCGTGGTAAGAACAGACAGCATGCCACCACAGTGCTTCATTTTGACCTGCAAAAACGAGGACTACTAAGTCTTTCGGAAGAAGTCCATCTCTGAAAGAAGTTCTCTCAAATTTGACTTAAAAAGCTTTCACTGACCTGTTTAGAACTTCCAGCTTCTTGGCTAAATAGAATTGTGCCTATTAATAAGGTTTTCCAATCACAATATAATTAAATGCACGGCCGAACTCTGAATATTTTTCTATAGGAGAAAATTTAAGTAGCCGCTTACCTCTGTTTTCAAACACAGTGCTAAATTTCACCACAAAGTCCTATAATTTCATGTTTTTTCACAATAAATAATTATCTGTACTTTTGCTGGAACTGACTGATATGTACGTGCTCTGTGCAGGTGTGGTCTCAAGTGCAGGAAGTTATGCAAGTCAGTAACCTGTGAAGCTTGATTAGGTTTCATATACTACTATTTGTCAATGGGAACCTTGGCTGAGCCTTACCAATCATTCTGAATAACAGCCATGGATTAAGGTTATCATACACATCAATTCTGAGAAATTATTGGTGGCAAATTCTGCTTTCAGATTTATTGAAAGTGCCCACATCTCTTGGCTTTATCGGCTTCAATCCATCAATCAATCACTTAATATTTATTCAGTACCTATTTTGTGCCAAGCACTCTTATGAATGTTGGGGATACGGTAGTAGGAAGGACAGACTAAATCTCACTACTCATAAAGTGTATTCTAGACAGAGAAAAGAGACAATAACAGGAGGCAGTGGCATAAAGAAAGGAAAGCAGGGTTACGAATTACAGGATGATGGGAGAGAGTAGGCAGCTATTTTAGATCACTGGGAGCTTCTTTGAAGATCCATTGTTTGAATCAAGATATGAATGTGGAGGATTATTGGATTTTATGGGCAAAAAATGATAGGTATTTCACTTTGTTAATGTTAATAGTGTTTGTTTATATACAGTATCCTTTGTGTATTTAATAAACCACATTCCTTTCCAGGCCTTGGTTGTACAACACGAATTTGGGATAAGGAAAGTAGTGGATTTTCCTGGTTTTTCTGATTTGTTAGTTTTTTGGGCTTTATTATTATGTTTTTAATTTCAAAATGTTCTCAGGGCATGAGACTTTAAAATACAAGCATAAATGTTTATGGTAAAAGAGGTTATTGAATGTAGAAGATAAAACTTATACTCTGAAAGCAGACTTAGTTGAAGTCTGGATTCTGGATTATAATTCTCAGTTTTCCTCTCTCATAAGGTAGGATGATTCTATCTTGCATATTTTCTTTAAAAAAAAAAACAATTGTAGCTATAATTTTTACCATATATATGAAAGCATCATGCACAGTGTCTGACCCACTGTAGGCGCCTGTCTATTGGTTTCCTTCCTATTTATTTGCATTATCAGTTTCTCTACAATTTTTCATTTGTATAGATAAACAAGAGTTGATGGTATGTGCATTTTTGCTTGATAGAATTTCATAAAACTCATTTCATCAGCGTGTGATTAGCTTCAAAGCTTCGAATCTAACCCAGTTCCGAGATAACTGGGAGACGAAACTAAGTGGAGGGAACAAATGAAGCATTGTAAGAGAAGCAAAAGTCAGCTTGAGGTTGTCTGATGTTTTTAAACTAACATCATCTTTAATCTCCTATGCCCTTCTTCCCAGATAATAAGAGCTGTGCACTAAAAGTGCTGAGATAAACTAATGGGGAACAGGATACTACAAAAGACATTTGAAAGAGCCTATGTAATTTACTGCATGTCTGGTTTGTTTTACTTTCCAAAGCCTTCCTGTTGCTCAAGGAAATGTGTCTCTTCTGGCAACCTTGGCCCTCTTTTGGACTGGGAGCCCTGAAAAAGCATCTTTTGGACTGGGAGCCCTGAAAAAGCATTTGAGGGCAGGTAAACAGATGCAAAGCTCTCTGAGTGAGGAGTAAGCACAGGCCTTGTCCTCTGTGTCACATCAGAGGCATAAACAAAGTATCCTTTAGTACTTGTTTGAGAGAATTATCCCAAATGCAGGCAACCAAGAGGCTGCTGGTGCATTCAGACATACAGAACTCCCAACATGCTCTGAAGGTAATTTACATGAGTGAATCGCTAAAAAGCCTCCTACTCAATGAACTGTACCCCTGGGGAAAAGCCATGCAAGCCCAGATCAGTGTGGGAACAACATAAGGGTGTTCTCTGTGCCAAAAAGGGGATTGGGCTGGATGGAAAATCCCCAAAAAGGACCATCTGGCAGCATAAATTATCCATTTAAAATGGCTGGTGTGAGTTAATGACACCAAAGTCACCATGAACATGTACAACATCCTTCAGTTGAGTTTTAATGTCCCCTCAGGCCCTGTTTCGATTATGAGTTTCTCTGCTGAATGTGGCCAAATGTAAATTTATCCACTGTCCTCCCCACACACATATACCATGAAACTGCGTTTTTCTGTAATGACTTAGGGATAGAGAAGGAGAATCAGTCTAGGAATAGAATTGCAGGAAATTTCTCTAAAAAATTATATATATTTACATTTATATATTATATATTTGTATATCTCTTAGCAAAATCCTCCATAATTATACAATTATGCTATACATAGTATTATCTATCTATCCATGCATCTATCCTCCCAAAAGAAGTCAGCCATTAAACTTTAGTTATTTAATGGCTAAAAATAATATAGGTATGCAGATGTTAAAATTCGTAATCATTTGATTTATAATGTGCAGACAGAATTACTCTGAATAAAAAAGTCCCAAGATCAAAGTACTCCATATTCCACCAACACCGTTGCCCCCAAATATGCCCCAAAGCAGCCCACTTAGGACCCTACATAAGGCAGTCTCTCACGGTGGAGAAGCTCCTTGGATATCAGTACAGTAAAAGCAGTTCTGAGATGTCTAAAACTGCATCAGCACAGTACTCCAGCTCAAATGTACCAAACCCATATACATATTGATTTTGATTTTCACTGAAGCAGGTAAACTGACTAGGACTCTAATTAGCCTCTTATGAAGGGTTCAAAAAAGTTTCACATCTTTTAATTTTTTAATAGGCCATCATAAACTTTTCATTGGCACTATACTGAGGTCTTGCTGATGATGCAGTTAGTGGCAGGGAGAAGTCAGCACTTTCCTTTTCATTCAGGCCTGGGTGTATTTCTTAGCCACTTTAGGCAAACTGGCATGCTGTTAAGTGTGGAGTGATGCTGACGCGGCCTTTCTAGAAGCCCCACCACACCTTGACTGCTGTGTTGGTAAAAACAGAAGAAGCCAGCACCAGGGGCTAATATCCCCATCCTTGCCCTTCCCATCTCACTTCACAGGTGAGCTTCTTATGTGTCTGTTTCCCACCCCAACTGTGAACTCCTTGAAAGCAGGGGCCACGGTCTCCCCATTCATCCTGCAGTTCCCAGAACTAGGCATAGTGTTTTATCCACAGGAAGTTCCCAGTGAAGATTGTTCAATGAGTGAATGAATGAGTGAGTTGAGAAAGAGTACATAGAAGCAAGGACAAGTGGAAATTCTGCATTTTACTAAAAGGAAAAGGATAAAGGACTCAGCCAGTGGGGCCTGAGTTTTTGTTTTGCATTCTGTCCTGCAGTGAAAATGCCTGGGGGCTTGGGGGTGGTATGCATGTCTGTGAATGTTAACACAGGTACTGAGTCCTATAGCCGCCACCACAACCAGGGTCCAGGACAGGTCCACGGCCCCCCAGAACTCCCTCACACTACCCCCTTACAGTCCTGCCCTCCCGCTGAGAATTGTCTCTTCATATGTTAGGGAAGAGAGAGGAGAGTTAAGATTTGAAGAGGAAAGGGTTAGTTCAGACATTTTCTTGGTGCTTGTCTGTTCCTGCAGGAAATTACTCTGAGGCATGGGTGAGGGAGAATGGTCAGAAAACATTTTTATATAATTCTTAGATGGCTTATATATGTTCTCTCATTTAATTCTCAAGAGCACTGAAATAGCTATTATTGTTGACAGATTATGAGAATGGAGACACCGGCTCAGGCAGGTTAGGTAATTTGCCAGTAATCACACAGCCAGCAAGAGCTGGCACCAGGATTATACTCTGCCGACTCCATTCCAAAGCCTACGTCCTACCCTCTACACCTGCGGGGCTTTGCATCCTGGGGAAGGCAGTGGAGAAGACTCCCCCTTGTCCAGGTGGAGACTAGATATGGAGAAAGACTTCAAAAAGCTCCTGCTATCAGAATTATTCACATTACTCTCAATACTCCAGGGTCAAGCCTAGACCACCCTGGGAGGCTAGACTAGAAGTCATCATCTGCTTAGTTTACTCAAGATGGACATAAAGACCATGGTTCCACTTCAATAAGAAAACAATCATGATGATGCCGAGTAATAGAAAAAATATTACAAAGTATTTCCATTTTATAAAAATCCAAGTACTGTATAAACAGTGTAGCACAGGAAACCCATTCTCCTTTCTAATGTTATCCACCCAGTGGAAGAAGTTGATAGATTTTTATTTTGATGGTTAAAGAAAAATTCAAAAAACCAAACTCAAAAGGCAGTTAGTATAAAAACAAAAGGAAAAGCAAATGGAATGCTGGATTAGAGCATAGGTGAAAGTACGTCAGAGTAGAAAATTATACACCATTCTTACCAGCCTTTCATTTCAGTTGAATTGCTGCTTTTCACTGCCACCCTTTTATAAAGGCAGCAGTCAGATACAAACAAGTGTTCGTGGTGAAAAAGTCAAAGAGTCAACTGCTTGGAGCTTGCTCTCTTCACTTTTACGCACAGCGTGGGCCGCCACGGGCACGGAGATTTCCCAGCGCCAGCCACAAACCCCCCCGGCCCGCCCTACTTACCTGGCTCCACTTCGTGCCATCCGCTCGACTGGCTGCCGCTGCCCGGGGAGCGCCCTTGGCCTGTGTAAAATGGCTCTTCACCAGGACTGTCCATTTCATCCTCCACAGACTTGAGGCGCTTTGTGGAGCTGAAATAACACACGGGTACATGTTTACAGGCAATCCAAACCACCTTGCAATTGGACATTGCCTCTCTGGTTGAAAGAAAGCCAAGAGAGGAAGCAATTGGGCAACTCAGTATAGCTCTAGGACTCTTTTAGGCTCTTGTTCAATTTAGTGAGTCACTGGATGTGGAACAAAGTCTTGGGTCTATCTTGTTCCAAGTGTCTGGGCTTGATTTTTATTGTCACTCAAGTTGCTGCTGCTGCCACATCCTGTTCCTTTTTCCTTTGAGGAACTAGTGGGTGGCTCCCGCTCCTGTCTCCACCTGGAAGTATCAGTAGTAAGTCCACATTTTCTCTTTCCTCAGGCTGTGCCTGGGGCATAACCATCAGCAATTTTTCTAGACATCCGTTTCATTCCTTCTGGTCCCCTAGAAAGGATAAAAATCAGGGTGCATGGCCCTTCAAGAAAAGCTTGAATTGCTTTTTTTTTTTTTTTTTTTTGCCATCTTTTCTCATCTTCCACTTGGATCTTTTCATTCAAAAAATATTTTCTGCAGTTACAATGGTCCAGGTACTGATCTAGACACTAGTGATAAAACAGGGAACAAAAAAAGCCAAAAAAAAGAAAAGGGAGGAAGGATTACACTTCCTTCCTCCTATGTGACAATGAGGGACATGGAAAATGAGTGGCCCAATGATTTTTATGTCTTCTTCTACAAAAAGATTACCTAAATGAAATTCTATTCCATCAGGGTAGGGACTTCTTTATTTTGGGAGAGGTATGGTTGATACTTTTCCAGAATGTTTCCATTTCCTCCAGTTAAAAGACTGATTTTTTTTTTTTTCTCTCCCAGTTGGAGGCTTCAGAAAGAGAAGGTAACAGGTAAAAGGTAGTGAAATACTACAGAATGGGTAGGTTTCAGACCTGGTGGGAGTGCTTGTTGTCATATTTCAGGGTACAGAATTTTTAATATGTTTTCCTTCACCAAATACTTGCTGGGAACCTCCTACGTACCAGGTGCGGGGTGAAACGCTGGGATAGAGAGATGAGTAAGACATGAGGTCTCCATGGGGTTTACTGTCTAGTAGGTGAAGACAGAGAGGTACACAAAATTATGCAAGAGAAATACAGGAATTTTGGTGGAACCACATACAGGATATAATGGGTTCCTATTATATCCTATATGTTCCTATAATCGAGGAAGGAAACTGTGTTATGCCTGGGAGGTGGGGAAAGGCTTCCCAGAGGAGATGGTTTCAGAGCTGCCTGTGATAGTGTGTGTCAAGGAGACGGAACAGAAAGAAGGAAAGGGCAGAGATAAGCTGTTATTCAGCTGATGCACCACCCAGGCAGCCATTTTGGGTTTTAAAATATTAAAATACTTCTTTACCCATGGGCAAAGTGCCATTGTCTGAAGCCCCATAAGCTTTCCCCAACCCTGCTGTGCCCATCTTTGCCCCAGGACAACCTCATGATCCAAAACGTAAGGGGTTAATGTCTGGCACACCTGGGGCATGCCAGGACTTAGCCCGAGCACGGAGGCAGGGAGGCATCTGCCCCAAGTGATTTCTAGTGTCACTCGGGTTATCAGGTATTTTGAACGTCACCTCCTGGAGGGCAGAACATCCCAAGCAGAAACAACATCCTGAGTTAAGGGTGACGTGTACAGAGAATCGCTCGGGGTTTGGTATGGTTAAAGTTCAAAGAATGGCACGGCAAAGGCGGGGGGAGATACAGATGATATTGTATGTCTGGACTTTATCCTACAAGCAGTGGAGGCTCCCTGAAAAAGTCGAAACGGGGAGTGACATCAGTCATATTTTATAAAGGTCATTCTGGTAGCTGTGCAGATGATAGACGTAGAAGAGCAAAGGGAAAAGAAGAGATGGGACTGAGAAGCAGGGAGATAATTAAGAGGCTCTTGAAGCAGTCCAAAAAAAAATGTGGAGGGCCCAATATAAGGCCAGAAATTCTGGTTATTAAAGTTGGCATACCTTTAAGTTAGCCTTTAAGGTCTATTCTTATTATAGTCAGACATAGGAAAGCAACGTGTATGTTGCATGCTAGCTTAGTACCCAAAGGACATACCTTTATTAGCGGATTTAATGTTCTTTGCTTGGCTTTCCTTGAAGTTCGATGAAAAATAACCACTTGAAAAACTTTTCTGTATTTTATGTAAAACTGCATCCAGTAGAAGTACTTTATAAAAGAATATACACAAAAATTCCTACTAATACATAGAGCCAGAAAAAAATGTGATTTCTTTAAATAAATTTCCATTGTTCCCTTTTATTAGAAAACACAGGTTATATAACCTATTTCTTCCCCTTCTTGCCTTGGAAACCAGGAAGTTCAGAGAATAACTCTCTGTTCAGGTTGTAAATATAACAACCCCTCCTATCCTTCCATATGGCTTCTAGCCTCTCTTTCTATATTTAAAATGACCTGTTGTGTTTTAAAATTGAAAGCCACTTGAAATCATTTTAGAAGTTGGAAGAATACAAATTGGAAAGAAATAAATATTCCCCTATGTTCCCTGGCAAATAAACAAAGACAAGACCTGTGTGTTCTGATGGGACTGTGAGGTCTGTGGGAAGGGTCTCTCTCCCTCTATCTCTGTCTCTGTCTTTGTATAAATACATAAAAGAATACATATAATATAAATATAGAAATATGTATATATCTTTTAACCTCTAGTGCCTACCACAGCATCTGGCTAATAGTATATGTTCAAAAACTGCTGATTTGGGCTACTGACTTAGAAACAGCCATGAGTATTTATGCCAAGGATTCACTCAAGTGTCATGATTCGGTGAGATCCAATCCAAAAGGACAATTCGACTGCCCATAATTTTCCCACTATTAATATTTTTCTGAGTTTGTCAAGATTTGGTTACTTTGGTATCCATTAATAAAATGCAAACATACCATGCAGGTATTAGATTCTAAAGGTGAAAGAATCTGTATTATTAGCCCATACCTTAGTGTGAAATCAAGGACTTTTGGGGTTGACACAGGAGAAATGTTTAGAGAGTGAAGGTATAGGATGGAGGAGAGAAAAAGATCCAGGACTGAAAACGTTACATGTGCCGTGTTGGAGAGGTTGAGGCTTCCCAAAGTTTATTAACTTCACAAACTTCACAGTTTGTGGTTTATCTTGACAACATTTTGGGGGGATAAAAAAGTCTATTTTATCTCAATGTTTATACTACCTCTTCTATAATTTTGGAGATAATTTACTATGAAGGGATAAAGAAACTACAATTAATGCCTATCAATCTCTTTTATTTTTTTTAATTTAGAACTGAATCAGTCAATAATTTTGGTTTCTTGCTCCTGACTTTCTCGCACACTGATTCTATTCTTCCAGAAACATTCAAGGGAAACAGGAAGGTGGCAGTAAGTTCTCTCTTTCTCTTCTAAGGAACGATGCACGACCTCTACTTGTGTGTAAAATTTGTTCTTGTGTTCTTAGCAATTCTACCTAGAAATTAAGGTAAGACTATTACCTTCATTTCAAGTATTTGCTTAATCCCTATTATGTGTAAAACCTAGAAGCCTTACCTTGGACCCACAAAACTGCAAAATGCCTCTTTCCAGAATGTTCACAGTATCCCAAACTAAAAATTTCTATTTACTGGTCAGTCTCTAACCAGTAGATCCTAAAGCTCCTACTACTTGACTTTCTGTCCACAGTGCCAAGGACAGTATCCTTGGTATTTAATAATTCTGTTGCTGAATACGAAGAGTTAATCACTCTTCTCTAAGGCACTTACAGTGCAGGTGAGCACACAGGACCTGTACAGACCTTAAAGATGGTAATAATAATTCAAGATAGCAAATGCTAAATATCCAGGAAAAGTAGAGATGCTATATATTCCTTTTTGGGGGACCTCATGGTCTATTGTTCCCTGCTGAAAGAGTCAGTCCTATTCTTAAGAGGGTTCAGTGTAAAAATAGCATGTTATTTAAGTTTCAACAGACCTGAGTTTGAACGTAGACTCTGCCATTTACTAGGTCTATAACCTTGAGCAAGTTACTTAACTTCTCTGAACTTTAGGTTCATCCATTGTTAGATAGCCACACTGTCTATACTGTGAAGATTAAATCATATCAGGTATGTAAAGCATCTAATACAGTGCCTCTCACAGATCAGGTGACCAATTAATATTTGCACAGCATGAACAAATACTGATCGATTGATGAACTTTTCTATATGTAGATCTGGGGTATTTTTCTGGGCACATTTTCTAACCTGTACACAGATAATTCTGCTCTGTCTATATGTTTAAAGAATAATTAAAAAAAATAATCATCCTAGGAGAATCTAATGAGAGTAAAACAAACATATTACTGAGTTATTAACTACTGATGGCATTTATAATTAGCTCCTTAGCAGGGTTATTTGCGGAATATGGGAATGACACTAGCCTTTTCAATGACATTAATAATCAGATTTCCTCTCAGAGAGTCACAACAAAAAGCGACAAAACAGCAAGAGAAGCACTGTTGGGGACATCCGTGGTACATGCATAGCACACATATGAAAAACAAACAGCCCATCAACTTTTAAATTAATCACTGTCCACAGGTGTTTGCAAAGCTTTTTCATGTTGACTGAGTGCAGTTATATACAATGTCTCTTCCATCAGCAAACACTCAAAATCCTCAAAATGTATTAGCACCCAAATGTGTTCACAATCTGATTCTTCTACTACAAATGCACTTTGGATTTGAGACTTTTTTTTCCTCCCTGAAGAGCTGACACCACGACAAACTGTAGGAACAATTAAACAACATGAAAGATGATGGCAGGATTTGGGGGTTGTATTTACAGAATAACTGTTTCAACTGTTTTCAAGGTATTAGTAATGACTAAGCTGATTTTTTGGGGGGTAAGTAACGATGGTTAAAATTTTAAAGTCAAGGTACGAATGAGTCTCTACCAAAGAAAATTTCTATAATCTAGACATTGTTTCAAATAATAAAACTCTGGTCCTTGCTTTCGGAGGAATATGCCTTTGTCCAATGTTTTCCTGCAAAGCACATGAATGTTGAAGATCGTTCTGCACCATTCTTTTCTTTGTTGTCACAGTCCGATGCTAGAGCCAATGTGTAAAAGAATACTGTGGGTTTAATGCCTAATCCCTTTCCCTCTGGTTCGGGTTATCTAGAGACAACAGGATCTTGCAAAGCATTTCGTTCTGATTTTGGCTTTGTGACCTCAGAGAGATCAAGCGCCCTGTAATCATTCTCTGATTCTGCTCTTCCAGCTTTACCTCTGTAAGGTCTCCAGGTGCGATGGGGTTTATGACCCAGCCGTACTGCCACAGGACTGCATTCACTTTTATAACCTCACACCAGACTATCGAATAGGTTTATCACTTAGGGAGACTCCAACAGCCTGGACTTGGAGTCCTCTGCAGGCGCAGCAGGAGAAAAGCTTGGACTCAGCTGTGCTATCTGCTGTGAGCACGGGAACTGAGACCGGTGTCACCAGCGTCAACTTTGCACCAGACATTCCAAAACACACATCCGTTTCCCTAGTCAAGCCTCGTCCTTAATTTCCTGAAAACATGCTACGTTCATCACCCATCCTTCCTCCAGCCTTTGCTCATGTCTGCACCCGATACGGAACAACATTCCTCTTTCCTTCCATCTCACCACCGTAAGCAGCATTTACTGCTGAGCACAAGTCACTCTTTTTGGAGAAAGCCTTCTTTATCTATTTTTATCCTTTGTCACATAATTTAGCTATTTTTTTTCTGTCTGGTGTGTGTATTTGTAATTTATCTGTCTGTCTGTCTGTCTGTCTATTTCTGCTGCCTATGCATCTGCTTTCTCGTCCCAGTTGGACTGAAAGTCTGTTGGGGCTGAAACCACCTTCTAGTATCTTCTACTGCTACTGGCACATTGCTAAGTCCCTAGCAGGCCTACAATTAAAATCAAAGTGTGTAACTATGAAGCATGACTTTGTTAATAGCCATCGATCACCTTACCTGGTAGAGGATGTGCTGGGTAAAGACCTCCTCATGGCCCCCGGACTCATGCTGTAGTATGAAGAACTTTCCAAATCTGAGAGAGAAAAATTTGGGCCAGTTCCTGCAGCTATCGGTGCTAGAATAGAACAAACAAACAAACACAAGCAGAAAAGGAAAAACACGTTAGTTAAGTTCTGCGGATAAAGGAACAATGAGCGTATATTTCAGTATTGCACTTAACACATTTTATTTTTTGAGTTTATAGGGTAAGCTTATCCAAAATAATGAGTAATAAATTCTGACCTCAAAAGAATGTTGACAATAAAAGTAGTCTGTACCAGAAAGGCATTTTTTTCCTAAGGTATCTTTCATCTTTTCTCTTCTTTTAATGGTAAATCATCACTAGGGTTTCAGTGTTCCTGGATGCTTTTAACAAAAATACCTCCATGTTTTGGGCTGCAACTTTTCTTCAGTGATCAGCCAGAACATTCCCTGGGCTTCCCTAACTTTTGTCTGACCCAGATAGCTTTCACTCATCTGTATTCTGGAATTAGGTATGAACTGCAAATTCATCTTTCTAATTTTTTGTGCTGAGATATGTGTGATTTCTCTTTACTCTGAATCACCCCAGCACCCTGCACACACCCATACTTTAATATCTGTTCCATTGATGCAAGGCTTCACACTATGGTCCCCATGCCTGCACAGTTGTTGGAGATAAAGTTTTACTGGAAAACATCCACACCCATTCATTTAGGTGTTGTCTCTGCTTCCACTCTGTGAGTGCAGAGACGAGTAGCTGTCGCAGGGATCATATGCTCCACAAAGCAGAAAATATTTATGTAGAAGAATTTGCCAACCTCTGATTTAAGGAATTATTAAAGATAATTTTGACTATATGTGATTTTTTAGAGCAGATGGTTGCATGAGATGTAATTCCCTATATATTTTTTATGCGCTAGAGCATCTAGATACCTTGTTTTCAGTAGTATAACAATAAATATTTTAAATAAATAAATAGCATCTATCAATCTTATGAAACAACTCTGTGTAAAATTAGTAGTGCAACTACATTAGTACAAATGATCTCTTCATTTGAAAGATTATGCAAAAGCAGAAACAGTGCATGCACTTATCACACGCTACTATAATTTGGGGTTGTTGTGGTTATATTGTCAGCATCTAATATAAACCCAGACACCAGGAGGCAGTCAGTAAGCACTGGTCAAGTGCAACTGATTCCTGGTCAAAGGAGAACCAACACAGTGCGAAAATGTTACCATCAAATTTGCATTTATAATCTAGAAACATCACCCTGTCTTGAGCAATGGTGGGGAGTGGCATGGCAGTTGAAGAACACAATCAGTAAAACCACAGAGGCCAGTGGAGTCATTTAAATAGATAAGATGGGAGTGTGGTCTCAATTCAAGGGATGGAAAGGAGGAGTGTGGTGTAAGTTATTTAGATGTCAGAATCAAGAAACTGTGTTGACTTCCTAAGTTCGGTAGTAATGGAAGGAGGGAGTGTGGGATGTTTCCCAGGATTATGGCCTGGGGGAAGCTGCAGTACCATCATAAAACAACAGACTCAAGGGAGGCTGTGAGGGGATGCAGCAATTTCTAAGAATAAACACTTAGTTGTTTGATTAATAGCAACGGCTAAACCTTAATAATAACTCTCATTATGTAAGGACAGTCACTGCTAAGAAATGGAAAACTCTGAAATTCACATATACTTTTTGAAATTCAAACACATCTTTCAATGATAGGCTTTAATGCAGGAAGGGCCTTTAGTTAAAAAACAAATGGTTAGGCTTGACTATACATGTAAACAGAGTTCTAATTAATAATTTTGCAAGCCGTTCCCTAATCTCTTTATAGGAAATGCATTTGCATATTTCTCCCTTTTATTTTATAATATTTTATATTTTATGAGGGTCGATTATTCAAATATGGGTCTGGATCACCCATTATCCCTTTCAGTGGCCTGGCATAACACAGGTACGTATTAATGGCTATGCCTCCATGGAGCTTGGAGATTCACACCTCTCATTAACTAACGAAGGTGGATGAGGCTGATCAGTGTCAAGGGTCTGGATGTAGATTTTCACAAGTTTTGGGATGGGGTTGAGGCCTCAGTTGGATGCAGCAGCTGCTTCCCTCCTGAGCACCCAAGGAACCCCATGAGCCCCACTCCCTCGCGCTTGGAAGCAAAGGCGGAGCAAGATGTGAGTGGAAGAGGCTTAACAGCACTGAGAGGACAAGCCAGAGGCCCTCTCCCTCGTGGGGAACACCCAGCTGCACTTACAGTTAGCACTTTATCTATCCTGGTCTGCCCTGGAAAAATGTCTTTTACCGTATCTTTTCAAAATGTCAAGGGAGAAAGAACAGGTGAAGGATGAAAAATACATGTGTAAATATGGCGTTCCCACCTCTCAAGGAGATTAAAAAAACAATTAAGCCCACAGAAATGTTCCTTAACTTGCCTGTATACTCACTTCATGTGAACCACTCAGTGCACTGTAGCTGTGACCTAGCCAATAGCAGCAGGTGGCCTGGCAGCGTTGTGACACTTCCCAAAGTGTCTGCTGGACTTCTGGAGAGCAACATTGGGGCTTGGAAAACTGATTATGTGTGTTTTGAATTTTAAAACCTCACTAACCTTCTGAAATGAGAATGGATTTCACAACCTGGGTTAAATAATCCTAATAAAGCGCAGACCCAAACTCTGCCTTCTTCAAAAGAGTCTTGTAAGGAAACATCCCTGGGTACCAGCTGTGGGTATGTAGCGGCCTGTTGGACTGGATGTGTATGTATCAGTTTACTGAAATGGATTTTGATTCAGTGCTATTGGGAGGGCCAAAGAGAAAGTGTCATATCTGAGGGTAGTGGTCACTGACCAAGCATCCCTGCAAAAGGACTGGTATCCTCAGTGCCTGTAATCTGAACAGGAAGAGGCTTTGAACTAAGAACCCAAAAGGCGGACTTTTGGCAGGCTTTTCTGAGTACTGTGAGGGACACATTTTGGTAAGTACTCTATTATATCTAACTTAATCCTCAAAAAAAAAAAATCATTCCAGGGAAGTATATCTTCTAAGTGAGAAGAATTAAACCCTGGAATGAAGTTAAATTACTTGCCCTGAATTATAGAAAGGCAAAATAAAGGGCGAGCCAGGATTAAAATTCAAGGATGTCTGACCCTGAATCCTGTGTCTCTGTACCCCCTTGACTCTCATATACAATATTTGCCTTAAACTTGAGATGTTAAAAAGGTGCCGGGGTGTCCAACCTGTGGCCTGTGGGCAGCACGCGTCCCAGGATGGCTATGAATGTGGCCCAACACAGAATTGTAAATTTACTTAAGACATATGCGGTTTTGGGGGGATTATGTACTGCAATGTACTTCATGTGTGGCCCAACACAACTCTTCTTCCAGTGTGGCCCAGATGCCAATAGGTTGGACAATAGTGTCTCTGTCCCTACAAGGTTTACAACCCAGTGGAGTGAGAAAAGAATATCTTCAAGTCTAATGTAATATCAAATGGGTTCAATCTCAAAGGAGAACACAAAGAATGTGTTAGGAAAGTTCAAAGGAGTAATAGATCACATTGGCTTGTGGGATCACAAAAGGGGTTCATTTCAGGAATTGCTGGTGCTTAAGCTAAGCCTTCAAGGATGGTTAGGATTTAAGGAGTCCTAGAAGGTAGAGAGGGGAGGGTTTCTAGGCAAATGAGAAAGCCTAAGTCTGGAGATCAGGAATAAAGTGAGTGATTTGTGGGATCCATGACAGTTTCTGAGCGGGGAAATGCTGGCTTGCATCTGAAGAACGGCAATATGGCAAGAGCATGCAGAATACGAGAAAGGGGGCTAAGACTCTGGAGGTGGGGACATCAGTGGGTGGTTTAATTTAGGTCTGGGAAAGAGGCAATAGAGGCCTAACCCATGCTGTCAAGAAAGAAAATAGAATTTTCACAATGGATATGTCACTGTTGCAGGAGACATATCCATATCCATTTTATATGTCTTTACTGACATAAAGACATATAAAAGACTGTTTTCAACTGGACACTATGGAAGGGCATAAAAAAACAAATGATCATATTATTCTAACAAATATAAAATATCAGTAAGATATATATAATACATATAATGTGCTTCTTAGTGCTTACTTATAATGGTAATAAGTCCTGCAAATTAGGAAACTAACAGTGTTCCAGGGTTAAATGGCTTGTCCAATGCCTGCCCAGGGTGTCACGGTGAGCTTCTGAGGCCAACGACTAACTGCTTTCTGGTGTGTTAGAGATTATGTAGCCACTGCCTGTCAAACGCGGGGATGTTGAGGGAGGATTGGACCTACCACAACACTTCCTGCCTGTTCTATATATTGTGAAACCTGATTTTGCTCCTTCAGTACTTGACCATAGGCTTTATCATTCTTTAATTATCTCATGCATAGCATTTTCTCCCCAACTGGCTTGAGGGCATTTTGAGAGCTATAAAGATAGACATCCTAGGGCATAAAAAAAGGGCTGGTCTGGGCCTTGGAGAGATTGTCTAGAGTCCCAACTCTGCCAGTAACCATCTGAGTGACTTGGTTAAGTCATTTAAACTCTTTGGGCTTCATAGTTCTAATAATAATTATGATAAAGATGAAAACTCACCACAGCCGCTGCCGCCACCCCCGCCCCCACCGCCATGGCCCTCAGCATCACGACAGCGAAGGCTGCCGCTGAATTAAGCACCCTTCAGGGGCCAGACCCTGGGCTGAGTTTTAAACACATCGTGCCATTTAATCCTCATAGCTCTGCTAGGAAGGAACTGAGGCACGAAGAGGTTAAGGAACTTTCATAGTTCACCAAGTCAGAGGGTTATAGCAGATGACCTTTAATCCTACAGACCCCACAGCCTCTTTTGTGTTCCTAAACAGCTCACCATAGTTTAGTATACACAGCTGATGATCAATAAATACACTGAATTAAGGAGAGTGAATAATGACCCTCTCCATTTACACTCCTCCCCAAACTTTAATAAATACAAAAGGAAACTCAGAAATCTAGAAATACACATAATGAGGACTGACTCCTCAACTTTCTTAAGCAGCACTGCAATTACTCCGACCTGTGGATTTTGTTGCATG